ACATAGATAGATAGATAAAGATATAAATATATAGATATAAATATATAGATACAATGATATATACACAAAAGGCATGAATAGAGTGACAGAAAAATGAAAATCAAGAAGATCACAAAGGCCAGTAAGGTGAGAGATATTAAGACAAATGGCCCAATGACACAGCAAAAGACATATGCCCTAAATGTTTGCAACAAAAAAACAAAAGAATCAAAACCATAACTTGAGTCATGTCACATATGCTGCCTACACATTGCTATGTTTTTTTCCTATTCTCTTTCCCCCTCACCCCAAACCTTTCATAGGGAGTTGTGGACCCCCTCTCCAAGCTTGATTCTGCTGGAGGTTTCTTGCTGTTTAAAGGTCGATTTTCCTTCCCACTGTCACCAAGTGCTTGCTCGTAGGAGTTCATGTGGCTGTTGGGGTTTCTTTCTAATATCATAGGATCTTTACTTTAATATATAAATCCCCTTGTAGTGACTGTTGCTGTTAATTGGTACTATGAAAATAAAGTGGAATAGTATTGTATTGTGGTGTGGGGGGTTTTGTGTACTTTTAAGCCTTTTAACTGTTTTTGGACTGACATTGGATGGTTGGATAATTTTAACACATCGCCCGTTACAGGCCAGAAAATAATAATGATGGGGGGTGGGGCAGCTATTTGCATTTATATGATTTATTGTCTGGGTTCAACCAAGAGAAAAAGGAAATCAACAGTTGTAAGCTGTAATTTTCTCTCAAACACAAGCACTATGTATCGTTCTCCTCCTCCCTATACGGCACATTGTTCTGGGGCCTTGGTGTTAATTCTGTGCCAGGCTAAGATGCTAAAAATATTCCTCCATATTATTACTAAAGACAGCAGCCCAGCAGCCCTCCTGGTGTACAAACTGTTTTATAAGCTTGTGTTTCTTCTTGACACACAACGGTTGTTTACCTTGACAGCTATTTGTGCATTGCATGGACAAAATTAACATCAGGAGAGAAAAAGAGATACCTGTGTATCCCGGAGGGTAAAAGCAGTAAAAAAGCTCATTTCAAACACACAAAAACAGAAAGAAGCCTGAAGCAAATTTATACCTTTTCAGGACAGACCATATTAAATTATTAACATGCAAAGTATCAGGAACTCTGTTAAAAAGAGAAGAAAATACACAAATGAACCCAGCTGTCAATACACTGGTAGAAATCTGCTCGCTACCTTCAAAGAAAGAGGAAAAAAATATGCGAGGCAGCAACAAAAGCAGTTCCTCTGA